CAATAGCTTCTAAACAGATACTGAGAGTCGGTGCACACAAAAAGTCAGAAGAAAAATGTTGTCCGGTTAAATTATGTTGTACATAATACCGCGGTGTCCAATAAATTAGAAAATGTAAATGTTGTATTGTAGTTATAATAACTTAAATTGAGAAAATTAATTTCTATGGAGATGCCGAAACAGGCAAAAATATTATCATCTCGACGTAATAAAATAATCATAAATGGTATCATAAATAATATTGCATTTGTAGATATCATAAAACATAACCGTGGTGGTTTTATTTCAATTGATTACAATGAAACCTTAAATTCAATTATTAAATATAATTTAAGCTGTAGTGCAGCGAAGTAACAACAACGATATGTTTATTAATCGTTTGCAGTCTCCAATTTTCACGTTAGAGGCATTTATTAATACCATGCATTGTTGATGTTGACGTGCGATGATAAAATAAATAATAGTACGTTATTGAAATAGTTCGTGTATATGTGATTTGAGGTTTTTTAATTTTTAATTTACTAGTTATTTTTAGAATGTTTTTTCCAATATCTTGCTATCGACGGTAATACCCGCACAGTGGCTATTAATACTATTGATATGTTTAACGTATTTAAAGTATACTATTATATTTTCAAGAAACATCATCGTAACGGTAATTTCAAACAACATTTTTAAAAAGTGACCGGATCGATCACGAGTAGACAGCGTTCGAGTAGACAACGAATCCGTTTTCAGCGTTCTAAATACACGCAATCGGGTCCGACTGTACGGTTGACGAAATATTTTAACGTTTTGTTAGAAACAACCGTCCGTTTGCAATCCTCTTAAATAGATAACAAATTTATTATTGTTTCGGTCATGAGTTAGATTCCAAACAGTCGGTTTGTTTTGAACAGAAGAAAACATTTTATAAATTAATATTTACCTAGGTACGTAAACACAAAGATTAGATGCCGTGCAATATCCTAAATAATCAGCTACTAAACGTAAAAATAAATTATACCTGTTATGTTCATTTAAAATTGTGTATCGACCAAAACCTTTTAACAATGTGTTATTATTTTTATTTATTCAAATTAATTAGGTATGGTTAAGTCGAGATAAATTGGTTAAGTCTACCTCGTAAACATATCAGAGGCGACGCCGTGACCTAACAGAGTCCTAAAACCGTCATTTTCGAAAAGCCACTGTTCATCAGAAAATCGGTCGATTGGAGATCTGTAAACGTTATGGTCTCGGTAAACTCGTGGAAAATTCGTAAAAAATATTTTTTTCGATTTTCCACAAGTTACAGTCATACTGTAGACCTTCGAATACGGTCTACGAAAACCTTGTTGGAAGTGTGGAAATGACGACTTGTGGTGGTTTCGCGGTACTGGGTAGGGATTCAATAATTATTGGAGATTGTTTAGAATTTAGTTAGCTTTGCAAAAAGTTCAAAACCAGATTTTTACAACCATTTCTCACTGAGATATTGTAAAAAAATATTGTACAACCACAGCCCGGAGGACGACGCGCATCGCTATGGTTTAATAGTCGGTACGGGGAACTGTATATATGTACGAATTTTTCAGCTGGATTGGTATCACTGAAGTTTACAGCTGTATTTTTATCAAAGAATCTGAAAATTCAATTCTCGACATGACAGACACCGTCGCAACAACTCCGGCTCCAGTCGCCGCGTCGCCGGCCGCGAAGAAGTCTCCAGCCAAGAAGAAGTTGGCAGCTAAAGCCGCGAAGACCGCTGCAACGCACCCAACCACATCCGTGATGGTCACTTCGGCCATCAAAGAGCTCAAAGAGAAGAAAGGTTCGTCGTTGCCAGCCATCAAGAAGTACTTGGCCGCCAACTACAAAGTCGAT